TTTGAGAGGTCTTCCTCTGCTAAGGGGAGGCGACCGCGAAAAACAATATGTGCAGTTACTTCCCTTATGCTATACATAGAGAGTAAATTTTTTTAACAGAAGCGGAAATTAAATGAATATTGCTGCATTACATATTAGCCAAAGGCTTTGAAAATGTTACAAAATGTCTACTACCCATATGCAAACTGAATTGGAGATACCCAAAAACAAACAAGTACAAAAATTTAAATACCTGGGAAGTGTTTTTTTAACAGAAAGTGCGATGAAGGCACATTCGAACAGGCAAGATGTGTTCCAAAGAGCTAAGCAGAATATTAAGAAACAGAAAAATATTATTAGAAACAAAGAAAAGACAAATGAACTGTTATGTGATATCAGTCCTCCTTTATAGCAGTGAGTGCTGGACAATCTTCTTGTAGAACTCAAATTCTACATTATTTAAAACGCTAGAATAACTTGTCCAATTTTGCAAAAAAAAAAAAAAGCGGATTACAGAACAAACCCAGCTTCACACACATTTTCAAAAATCTCGAGTTCTGAATGGTCAATAAACACGCAATTGGGCGTTACTATCCACCCACGCATAAGTATTTTATTTTTCAGCTTGTGACTAAGTTTAAAGTTGGCACTTATTTTCTGTGAGCCATCCAAAGTAAATAAATAGAAAAAAATTAATTCACACTCACCAGTGAGCATCGTGACTCTGAACGACTTGCCACAAGAATCCACGTCACATCATCTTATTCTTAAGTTTTAACGTTTCCATGAACATTCAACTCACTCCCCAATTCATCTTACACAGAAGCCTGAAGTTATTTCCTGCAAATGAATTAACTCTACATTTTTCCAATCTTTTAAGAACATTGTCTTACAATATTAATCAAAGGAAGAAAACTTCATTGAACTAAATTTGCACACAATTTTTTAAATTTATTGCTTAAATGAACGGTAACTTTCTAAGAGAAAACTTTCTCCCCTAAACTCACTTTATGAAACTTCATTCATATATTCTACCAAACTGCATTTCTTATCTGAACTCATCAACTAAAGTAAAACAGACATAAATGGAGTTCAACACTTATTAAACAAACCTCAAAAATCTATGCCATTATGTAAAAACCTTTTTTTTACAAAAATAAAATGAAAGTTGTTTGTTTATCAAATATTGCTTTTTGTCTTTTCTCAAATTTGTTTATTGCTTCTTGTTCCTTTGTTGTATGGCGGATATATAATTTTTGCACACAACTTATAAAAAATATTTTTCTCACATTAATATCTCCCTACAATCTCATCAAAGATGAAGAAGAGACTTAAAGCAACAAAAATGTATTTCTGCAGAAGGGTGCTGAGAATACCATGGCCTGAACATGTGAGCAACAACAAAATTTTAGAGAAGATGGAAACAAAAAGTAAAAGTATACTTAACATCAGGAAGAGGAAGCTGAAATTTCTATGGCATATAATGAGGAAAGGTGTAACGAGAGGAGTATTGAGCTCTTCTATTAGCCCAATCTTACCTTCTTTGAGAAATGCACTATTCCAACTTTCATTCGTAAATCTAGCCCTCTGATTGGTTCATTTCTACCAATCAGGTCGCCTGCATGTTCACTTCGAAGTTTTGTCGCAAAATCGTTTTGGAGCCACCCATGGGATCATAACTTCTTAAAAAAAACCAAAGCATGTGTGACACGCAGATGCAGACCTGAGCATATCAGCAGCAGACCATTTTTTCGACCGCTCACTCAAATTTAAAAATGTGACGACTACTACCGTCTTGTGAATCGAGACAACAAATCTTTCCCGTTCAATATCTTCTACGAACTTCTTCGTCATTCAAGAATCTCAAACTATACATTCTCTTTGATCATCTATGATAAATCAGTCAGTCCATCGAACACAGAGAAGCGTTAATCTAATCCACGTAACTTGCGATTATAATTTTCCCACGCAAAAAAAAACCACAACTGACTCGAAGATTACTCTGTGAATACAAAGAACTTCAACTTGCAAGACTTTACTTATCAAAAGTGAATTATTAACGCTCACTACAATTTAAGTAAATACTATTATTGAATATATTTCATACTTACAGTTAAATGTAGACTACTTCTGAATGACTCAATTCTAAACAATACAAAAAGAACTACATGAACATAATAACGGTGTTTTAACACTAATTATGAATTCTTATAGACTGTAATACAAATACACCAAGACACCAAAAAACAAACAGAATCTTCATCCACTAACAAACATAACAACACAATAATATTTTGTATATAATATGTGTATTGTATATAAATGCATTTGTTTGTTTTAATTGCATACATGTTTTGCCTTGTTTTATATTAAGTACTAGCAGTAGAGCCCGGCGTTGCCCGGGGATGTAACAGTAAGAGATAGATCAAGTATCGACCATCATAAAGACTGAAAAATAAAATTGACAAAGATTATTGTTTAAGGTTGACGGACACGCATGTTTTAATTAGTTTTTTTTTTTTTGCTTTGTTTTTTTTTTTACAAATTGGTCAAACCCAAACTCAAACAAAAACATTGTTTTCAATCGTTATGAGACTACTGATTGAATAGAATTTTATTATAAACTATTGTCTTGTAAATGGAATTTTTAAAGCATTCTGAATGTAAAAATAAAGAAAAAAGTGTGCAAGACAATAAGAAACACTACCAGCCAAAAGAAAAAGTGAAATTTTGTTGAAATCAGTTGAAAAATGTATGAAATCCGATCCCATATATAAACGAACACACACACACACACAAACAACCTGGGTTTTATAATAAGTATAACTCGATATAAGTTGTCCCCCTTTCATTCTCACGATGCCTCTTAATTGTGTTTTCAAATTGATTTTGTGCAAAAACAATTGTGTTTTTCCAATTTTTGGCGCTGTCAGAACCACCGCAAGGTAATTTTATGCAGTTTTGTTGAAATCGGTTGAAACATGTAGGAAATCCGATCCAATATATAAACATACAGACACACACACACACACACACAACCTGGGTTTTATAATAAGTATGATGATTATTTATTGTTGTGGATGCAAGAGAAGATCACGCAACCTGACAAAAATTCCTTCTGATATATTCTAACACCATAGCAAAAATCTTAGTTCATTCTGCGCATCCCCAACATGTGTTGTAACTTAGGGAAGGTTACTGAATAGAATAATCAAACGAAGTTTGGTAATGAATGATAATACTTAGAACAAGAACAACATATATAAGATTTGCCAGCAGCACGTAGGAGTAGTCAACTGCTAGAAGTGAGTCAAGTGAATTCTGCAATGAATCTAGACCATGTACAGTATTCACTACTCTATTTATGGGAATAGGGACATACCCATTATCGTCCGTAGGTATGCTACAACAATATATTTGTAGAAATTGAATCCTATGCTGACTGATATATTTCGTGTTTGGTTTTATTTAACTCAAACACACGTGTTAATACAACTTACATTTATTAGTGATTTTCCAAGCGTAGCTTAGATGTGGCACAAAGTGTGGATCGAACTCACTACACAGTCGTAACTGATCTAGTGAGACAAGCTTGCTAACTATTACACCGCCTTGGGGCACCCCAAATTACGTTTATTATGCCATCTTGGCATTGTCAATAATACTGCAATCAAAGGGAGACAACTCTCTAATTTTTAACTCCTGTTAAATTTACTGTGTTTTTGACCAGAATTTTTCAATATTTTTGGGGGCTTAATTCTTTTTATTTCAATTTTGACTACCGTTATATATATATTGACAGAAGGAAAAAAATTTCTAATATCTTGTGCAGGAGAGAAGATGATTTACCTCATGTGGCAAAGTGAGTATGTATATGCCTGGCATGCAAAATGAGTGAAAGAGAGTGAAGAAATATGGCCTCCTTAACACCTTAATTTAAGAAAAACATGGTCTCAGAGTCAGGAGAATTAGTGAGAGTGGTTGGGTATATGCAAATTTGTCCCGAGATCAGCTAGGCATAAATTTAACACCACGCATGAGAGAAAAATGATGAGATGCTCATGAATGTGGTATATAGAGAGACTTTATTGTTGGGAAAGCAAAATTACTTGGGCCAGTTTTACACACCTTGAATATATGTTTGACTTTACTAAACATAAAAGTAATATAGACTGATTACAGTAGATGATTATTTTCATTTGAATTTATCATGATTTACAGTCAGACTAATATCCTTATCTTTGTTGCCATTATCCCTACCACCCAGAAAGAGATCATCCAATGCAAAATCTCAAACTCAGTGGAACAGGACAAGCATTAACTGAGCAATATCAAAAAAAAGATTAAAATACAATATCCTGAGACATAGACATTTGAACAAAAAAATATACCCCAATCTACCTAAATTAAATAAAGGGTGCAGTTTGAAATTCACTGAAGGTTTACAATATCAAAAAATACCTGAAAGTCAAAGAGAACAATGGCTGAAACATTATAATAACAACAAAGATGAAGATATTAGACTGGCTTTAAATAATTTAAATCATTAATAATCATTATCTGAATTTCTGGAATGAGGATTTATCATAATTTACAACAATCTTTGCAGGCAGGACAATAGCCTAGTGTTGGTTTGGGAATTTAGTGACATAAGAGTTGTGAGTTCAATCCCTGGGCTGGGTAGTGTGTATATGGACTCAGTAGTAACAGGGTGAGTAATAACTGAGCAGTACGAAATATAGAACTAGACAAGATATCCCTAGACATGGGCAGAGAAAGGAAAACAGTCTACCCCAAAAAATTAAATAAAGGGGTCAGTTTGAAATTCCCTGTAGGTTACCTGGATTGAGATAAACCTGATACACCTTTTCAAATTAAATATTATCATCTGAACCAGTATTTTATAAGACAACGAGATTGATAAAGACATTCAATAAAAAGACCTTTTCAAATTTGTTTCCAAATTAAAATCTTGATATAATTTTCCATTTATTTCTTTGGCTTTTCTTTTCATTTTGCAGGGTTTTGTGATTGTTGAGAATTATTTCCTTCCTGAAGAACTGGATGCTTGCCGAAAAGCTGTGGACAAACTTGTTGATGATTTGGCACTCAAACTTTATCAAGCAGGCAAGGTGAAAAGTAAGTTTTCTTTTATATATATATATATATATATATATATATATATATATATATATATTATAATTATTTTTTAAAAAATATGATTCCATTGTGAGACAGAAATTGCTATGTTTCAAAACTGATCAGCAGTATTCAATATTAAGATATATATAGGATCCACAAAGAATGAATTTAAAATAAAGTGGAGACTACACAAAAGCTCCTTCAATAATATTAGAAACAGAAATCAGACATCCCTATCTAAATATTTTTGGCATTTAAAAGAAACAAATAAAACACCAAAAGTATAAATAGAATAAGAACATGTAAAACCTGGGATAACCCATGCTCTTTATGAAAAACTACACATTATTAAGTTTCTAAAAAAATGAAAATTTATTAAATCAAAGAAATGAGATAACGGTTTTTTGCTGACACCACCAAATATTTGCCGTAAATAATTAGCATTTTATAAATGGACAACAAAAAAAATAATAATAAAAATTTCCAAATCTATTAACAAGTTCAATTAAAACAATAGGTTTAAAATCACAACCCAATCACAATGTTAAAGCTCCTTTAAGAAATCATCAACAAAAAAAAAAACAAAAAAATAAACACCAAAAACTACCAGAACTACAACATCATTCAGTTAAAGTGTTAGCATACAGTAATAAAAAAAAAAAGCAGCACTACAACAGCAGGGAGTCAGATAAGATTAGCCATTGTAGCCAGACAAAAAAACCACAACCCAACCTTACATGACTCCAAATACTTGGCATATAACAAACATCCCTACTTCCATCAAAACAGTGACCTCTTGATAATGAAAAACAAACCCTAGAACACACCTCTATTTCAAAACTATAAATGAGTAAAGCATTCCATAGCATAGTTATTCCAAACAACACTTGAAGATGAGACTGCCACCTGGTAGTTAGGGTTTAATATTGAAATCAAACCTGAATACTGCTGACCAGTTTCAAAACATAGTAATTTCTGTGTTGCAATGGAATCATATTTTTTAAAAAATAATTATAATCAAAAAAACAAAAAATACGAAAGAACTTCGGATCATCAATCTAAGAGTTCTTTCCTATTATATCAACACACACACACACACACACACACACATATATATATATATATATATGAAGAAATATACTCTTAAGGTGTGCTATATTTATGAGATAAAGTGCTCAATATCAGAGATAGAGCATGCGTAAATAGAAAAGTGAATATTGAAGTCAACACTTAGAGGCGACAGGCTGTTTCATGCTAGACGCAATTGTCAGGCCATTGAGCAATTGTCAGATATTGAGCACTTTTACATTATAAATATAAATATAAAATACATTATATATATATATATATATATATATATATATATATATATACTTAGTTACTTAGTTTGTTCCCAAATATCATTTAGTTCTTGTCATTAGTTTGCATAAGGAGTATTTAATTTTTTAAATTTAATTTTAACTAATTTAATTCAAAAAAGTAATTTGTTTCTATTGTCGCAATAGTGACATTGTCATTCATTTTTTTTTAAATTTACTCAAAATTGGCCTAATTTTGTTAATTGAAAAATAAATAAAATAAGCAATATTTTCTGTATATTATATATTTTTAATTTTAATAAAGGTAAAAATGCAACCCAAATACAAAAGAAGTAAGATGAAAGAAATACCAGTGAAAAAGAATAATAATAACAATGCTTCATCTAAGGGATTCTCACAACTTATGACTATTACATCTTATTACTACAAGTTATAAATAATAATTTATTAATTAATGTCTAAAGAAACCCAGTGCTGAATCATCAACCTTCTCAACTTGACAGTCAAAGTAATAATCTTGTAGACATTAATTATAATTATCTTTTGGGCCCAACAGAATTGTAATTAAACTTGTTATCTTGCCTAATTGTGTGGCACACAAAGGAAAATTTTGTGAAAGGTTGTTTTGTAAATTTTGTATTTTGTGCTATTATTATTTTTATGCCATTCATTAAATATGAATTTCTTACAAATTTCACACATGAGCAAAAGTTTTGGGTTTTATCATTTATACAATTGATAATATTTAGGATAAGAAATTTGACTTTCTCTTCTCCTCACCCTAAAAAATCCTTACAAGTTCTATACAGTGAAAATTAATTGAGCAAAAACAAGACAACAAACATGAACTTTAGACAGTTTATCTCCAATTTCAATCCTGATGTGCAACATCTTATTCAAAAATTAGAAAACTGGAATGAACAATTAAATAGAAAATCCTTTTTGTTTAAATGCAAGAAAAATGGTGCCAGAAAAAGTTTTTAAATAATTCTCATAAATGTATTTCTTTTTGAAATATTTGACTATTATGTTAATTATTTTTTATTTACTTTTTATTCATTATAATTAATATAGTAATTAGAACTGTTGTGTTTGGTTTTGCAGATTTATATAAAGAGCTCGGATTCAATCAACGCTTGATAAAATTAGAAGAAGAATTTCCTGGAGCAAACATTATCTTTCTTAAACAAGGAATTTTACCAAAAGTAAGGCCAATCACAAGCCTCTCCTATTTTCTATTTTTGATAATTTTCATTTTTTTGCTAAACTAGGATTGACTTATTACAAATTTCACATTTGCATCTTTACATATTTTTCTAATTTTATCAATATGCAATGCTGCACAAAAGTGATCTTAACTTTTCATTTTTATTCTAGCTTGATAAAATTTTTATAAAGTGGTTATAATTCGTTTAATAAAGGTTTTTCTTAATGAATATATAGTTTAATCATGATTTGTTGATTATCTGCCAAAAAAGCAACAATTCTTTCTTAATATTATCTTAGGGGTTCACTTACCTTTGTGCAACACTGTATATAATAAATCCAAAAAGACCAGTTTATTATTTAATAACAATATAAAACAGGACCCCCACTTTATATCCAACTGAGTCTTTTATTAATACTAGCTTAATGCTACTATTTTCTTAAGTCCTTACTATACATCTCTGAATCTATTTTTGTCTATTGTAATATTTTACCCGTATGTGCATCCATATTCTCTGATCTCTTTTTTTTTCTTCATTTTTGGTCTTTTCTAGCTTTAACAGAGATTATCCTTTCTTTGCATTATCTGAATAATTTTATAATTGTCACAGCAAAGACACTGCCACCTGGTGTCGCCGGTGCAAGGGAGATAACTATTTTCCATTGTACCAAGGATATTAAAGATACAAACATTCCAGTGAGAAAATATACAAATATACTTGGCATATCATATAGTAAGATATTGCAAAATACTTTTTCTTTTAATAATTGTAAAATTGTGTCAATGTTCAAATGGAACAATAATACGCAAAATCTTTTCTATATATTTTGCATCTCATGGACTAGAATAAGAATATAAAATTTATCCTTATGTAATACATCATTACAAAACTGCCTGTAGTCACAAGAGCCAAAGTTATTTGATGCAATATGGAGCCTCATTCTATCAGCAAACAAAGATTTAGTTCCTTTGAGGACATGTTTACAATTATTAGGTGCAACCACAAATTGGCATCTGGTGTAATCGGAACTGTCACGCAAGTAAAGTAATAAAATGAAATTCCTGGGGACTAATGCAACAGAACAGGCTGGAGATTGCCAAGAGGACAATGTTGCACTACTCGACAAGAGCTAAGAGTGAGAGTAAGGAAGAAATCAAGTAAAGAAGTATGTTGATCAGATTTATTAGGGTAATAAGAAGATAAATCAATGATTTGAATAAGAAACTGAGCAGCAGAAAAATTGAAAGTCTATATCTATGTGAATAAAGACAAAAGGAAAACTTATTTTATCGAACATGTTTCATCCTATGACAGACTTTATCAAGGCAAATGTGAGGATTTTATTTTGCAACAAGTATTTATAAACAAAAGTAAATATGTCTAGGTAAATTATGGAAGATGCTAAGTGACATAATTTAATGTCTAATAAATGAAAATGACTAAATGCTGTTGTTGAAGTTTTTGTTTTTTTACACAATTAATATTTAAATTATTTTAGTATGGGATAAATGTATATGTATATATTTTTTTAAATAACAAGAGATTATAAATTTAACCATTTTCTTTTAATTTTTTTAACATTTTTATAATCATATATGTTGGCTTGGGATAGGATTAATTCTTTCAGGAAAGGAGATATTTTGAATTAAGATGGTAGTATACCAATTGCATTACAAATTCAGGCAATGCAGGACCTGTGGTCAAATGAACGTCTTCTGAATGCTATTGAGCAACTAATTGGGCCAGAAATTGCTGGTCATCCAGTATGGAACTTGAGGCCCAAAACACCCCATAATGCAGCTACAACTGTCCCTTGGCATCAAGGTAAGGAATTTTGTTTGACCAGTTAAAAATAAACAAGTTATTTTCTACCATATTGTTTGTCACTACATAATAAAGCAAGTATTTAAAACTTTGAATAATCCAGACTGTTTTTAGCTTATTTTTAATTCTACATGTACCAAAATAAATATATAGATAGATAGATAGATATGAGCCAAATGAGCAAAGTAGATAGATAGATTTTAGACTTTTCTGAAAAGTATGCAGCCACCCCAAATAATATTAAGAAAACAAGAGCTTATCTCAAGCAATGCCACCTTAAAGACGATTAGAAGAATTACATTAGAATTGCCGCCTCCTAATTTTTACCAGATTCTTCTTTCTTAGCTTATATACACATATATGAAGATTGATTTTGTTTTATGAGCCAAGGAAAATGTACAAGACAGCAGAGGTTTAAATTGAGAGTTTTCCTTCTGCTAGAGAGATTGCTTTCACCAGGGCTCAGGCGTTCCATCTACTCTCTAAAATGAAGCTAGATACTTCTTTTTACACTATGAATCATAGGTATACCAGAGAGAGAGGTTAACCTTGACCAACAGTGACTTTGTATTGTACAAGTACACACACACACACACACTCTCTCTCTCTCTCTCTCTCTCTCTGCCTATCTTCCTTTAATCAGCTTCCATTGAGCAATGTTAGTTTACAATCTATTTCCAAGTACTCTCTTTGAGATTTTACATTATTCTAGTGTCCTTTCAAAACACTGTATAAAGTCCTCTTTAGTGATTGCCATCAGCTGCTACATTGCATTTTCATTTAAGAGATTTCAATGGTTAAATCCTTGAGGTCCTGACTGAACTGTTGAAAAAGCTGAATATGTGATGTTCATGTAATTAACTTGATATCTTTATATATTGAAAATAAATTGATTTCTCTTTCAAATAATACAAAATTTAGCCTCCTTTTGGTTTTATTGACTGTGAGATATGATTTGGGAAATGTACAATTTTATAAAAATGAAATATTTTACATAGCATAAAAGAGAAAAAAAATGTCTCTCAAATTTCATGTTTCCTGATTCTTAGATGTTGCCTATCTTGATGAAGACAGTTACAATGTCTTGACACCAACAGCCTGGATTCCATTGGTTGATACAAATGAAGAAAATGGATGTATGCAAGTAAGACATTTTCTTTTATACTTACCTGTGAATTGAAAAGAGTCAAAGATAAAAAGAAAACTTAAAATATTTTCTCCTTTTGAAGGGAATTGGATTTGAAAAAAGGAAAAACATTTTAAGCCTGTTTTGTGATCATGAAATTTAAAATAGCCATGAAAAATAAACAGCTATCTTTGCAGAAAATATAAGAAATACAAGATATATTACATAGATATGAAAAGACATATATATATATATATATATATATATATATAAATTTAAATTTCCTGGTATAAAATATAAAATCCTTTCCATTTCAAAGGGAACAAACATTCAATCTTTGGAAAACAAAATCTCTGTCACCAATGACTTAATTTCTTCCGAGGCAACATTCTATTTCACATGTAAAAAATTTTCTTCTATTGTCTAAATTAGCTCTTTATGAAAAACAGGTAATTTAGACTGTGGCTAAAAGTTATTGTCTCTGACAACCAAATTAGATTTTGATAATTCTTTCTTATTAATCTTTTTATTTATTTTTAAAATGTTAAATGTAAGATGATCAAATGCTTTACGTAATGAATTTTACAGGTTGTTAGAAAGGGACACATTTCTGGGAAAGTAGTAAAGCATGAATGCTGTGCAGGTCCCACTTGGTACGTGATGTTAGATGAGAAAGAAATGGAAGAAACCCTTGGTGAGTCATCTATTCAGCATTTCTAGAGGGAAAAAGTGAATCCATTTACAAAAAGAAAACAAAAACATTCAAATCCATCATTTTTAAGAATATCACAAAATGAGATTTGATAAAACCCTAAAATGGTAAGAAAAGTGAATTGGCAGCAAGAGAATGTTTGAAGAAATTAATGCAGTTAATGTGTAGGGATGTTATTCCTAATTTTGGTGGAATCAATTTTTGGCAACTATTAGCAAACACAAACATTAGTTCACAACCACAAAATATTAATACACCAATAAAATCACACAAGACAAATACAGTCGTACTATTTGGGACATATCACTGCATACAAAAAATGCCTTATTCTGGACACACAGTGTATCCTACCAACAGGTATATAAAAAGATAAATGGAGGCCCCAGACAGTCAAACACAAGATAACAGTTAGCCAAGTTTAGTCATAGAATCTCACTCGAACTGTGATGTTAAATGAGAAAGAAATTGGACAGACCATTGGTGAATCATTTATACAGCATTTGTATCAGGGTCAAGAGGAAGTGGATTCATTTATCAAATAAAATAAAATAAAAAAAACTCAAATCCTTCATGTCAACCACTTATATCATTTCAGGTTCAGATCCTTCTCTATTCTACAGCAAATCGTCATGCAATTGGTTCATTTGGCCAAGATTTATATAATTTCAGCTTCAGAAAATAAAATAAAAGAAACAGGCTTCCTTTCTGCCATCCAAACCCATTGAAAATTATTCGGGGAAGATTAGAAGTTGTACTCACAATATGTGGGTTGATTTCCTAAAAAACTGTCACTAGGGGATGCACCTTAAGCCTATAAATAGGAAATTATATTTTCATTCATTCTCTTTCCTCTTTTACAACTCTGGCTATAAGATGTAGTTGCACGTGTGAAAAAAGTATCCCCCACTCGGACGCATTCATATTCAATGTCTTACTTTTCTCTCATGATTTTTTGTACTCTTTCACACACATGTCTATCACATAGGCCTCCACAAACGCCATACACACAAACACACATCCTCTAATTTAAACACTTTATGAAACTAGTCTTTAAATTTTTCTTTGTTTATTGTTATTGTAGTACTTTTGTTAGCACATGCATTGTTGTTTGTTTTATATTGTTTTGTGTTTCTCATTTATTACCTGGACTCACATTTGAGACTGCAATAATTGTTATAGAAAAAATAATACCAGGAATTATGTGTTTTTACATAAACACAACAAGCATTCCCACAACTGATATGAACATGTATTTTTGTATTAATGGATAGCAGCTTGGATTGAGGAATCAGAGAGCTGAATTCGAATTCCAGTCGAATCCATTATATTCACTTACATGCTAATAACCTTGGGAAAGATATGAATCCTCTTCTTCTGCTCCCGGCTATGGGTAAATAGCAGGACAGATCTGGTTCTATAGCCTTAGATGGCAACTGGTCTACCACAAAAGAAATGGCAACCTACTGTGGTAAAATATCTGCCTCGTCAGTCATGTATCAAAAGATTCATGATTGCCTAAGCGTGTATCACACATGGCACATAACTGAAGCATATGATGGCAGATCAGAGGAGAAACAATGAATGTTTAAAGTAATAAACAATTGTATTAACATAAAAGACAATAAATAAAAAATCCGGGTAGATAGCTCTTGTATGAGAAAAAAAGAGATAAGTAGAGTTGTAAAGGCATTTGGTGAGGCATGGGAGGATAAGTTTTGACTTACTGGGGCAACAAGCTAGTCAAGTCTGATGTCTTTGGAGATGGGAAGTCACTTTTTGATGAGCGAGTGAACTTGGGTCAAGATGACATCCGACTGCCGAATATAACTTTGATGGGCTTTTATGTTCTTTTTGAGGCTCAAATCAGCTCCAGTTTCATTCTGTGGGTGCTATTAGGTGGAAATTCTGGATTATATTGCTTTTTTTTTTTACTTTGAGTATGTGAATAAATGGAAGATATGTGTGGAGCCTTGCACAGTAGATGGGTTTTTAGTTGAATTTTGGGCATTCAGAGCATTCACATGCGTCTAGTGGGGGAAATTTCTGTAACATGAGTCAGAAGATCTGATTTTGGGAAAAATGTAACACTAATAAGTAATGGTTAAAATAATTGGCTGCTACAATTTGGATTCATTACAAACTGAGGGTCTTTATAAATTTAGGCTTGTATTGATGTTTTCTCTTTTCTTAATTAAACTTTAAAAGAATAATTTCTCTGTCAGTTTTCTGTAAATACTCATATTTTTTTATTTGACCTGAAATGCAATCATAATGTTCACAACTCCACTTTAAAAAAAGGCAATCAATTTAGCATTTTTTTTTTTCAAGTTACGAAAATGAAAGAATGATTAAAATTCTGACATTGTGTAATTTACTTTTTATGTTTGATTTTCTTATCAGGAGTGAATCTTAAAGAAGATGTGGTGCTCTGCCCAGTTCCCTATGGGGGAATGCTTCTAATTAATAATTTGATTCCACACCAAAGGTAAATAAATGAAACAATCATTTATGAAATAAATAAAAATATAATAGTCAAAATGTTGAGGAAACATTTCACTTGTCTTAAAAAGATATTTGAATCTCATTTTTTTTCAAAGACAACCTAAGATAGCTATAGTGAAGAAAATGGCGATTTACTTCGTCAAACCAAGCGACAGTGAGTCGTGTGTATTCTATGATGGAAAATGTGGCAAAAAAGAAAATTACTTACCAAACAAAAGGGCACGTATTCCACATGACATGGAATATTTGAATTAAAAACAAGTCCGTCGCAGGAGTCACCATAAAAGTATTTTGATATGCAAAATACTGAACATCCTCTCCCAGCTGTCGACGAATGGAAAAAATGCTCAGCCGATAAAAGCAGTTGGTATTCTCGAATCAAGAGGAGAAATTCGGGTATTTTGGTTACCGTGTTTGTTGGAGAATGAGTTATTTTTCTGACTGGTTGCATGCATTGTGATTTGCGAGATAATACCTGCGAATCGAGTTTTCAGCATTTCTTTCTGCCCCTCAATGTTCGAGTCCGAACTTAGTGATTTATTCTCTGTGACATGGAAATAATCTGCGACAAACATTTCCTTTGCAATCCCAGATTGCTTACAATATAATAATCAAAATGTTGAAGAAACATTTCACTTCTCTTAAAAAGATATTTGAATCTCATCTCAGATTTGTTTTCATAGCTGACCTAATATTTCTTTTTATAGCCAATCTAATATTTGTTTTAATAGGCTAATATTTCTTTCGTAGCCTACCTGATATTTCATTTTTAACCTTCCTAATAATTGTCTTCATAGCCTACCAAATATTTCCAATGGAATTCGCTGGAGTCTTGATCTTCGCTGGCAAAATCCGGAAAAGCCCTGGGGATTTTATGGTTTGAAAGAAGGCATCTTGATGAGGTCTTTAAAGAATCCTGTCACCCATATTGGCTGGGATTATTTTAATGCTCTCAACCGAAGTGATTTAGAAAATAATGCATCATCTAATAAGGTAGGTATTATTTTTACATATATATGTTATTTACCATTGCCCAAAGAGGAACCATTATAGTTCTCAAACATGAAAGCGTTTGTATAACGATGTAAAATGTTTTTATTGTAATCTATTATAATAAAAATATAATAATATTTTGCTCTACTTTATATTGAGCACTTTTTTAAAAAGTAAATGCAAAGAACTGGGGATACTTACCCCATCTGTTCTTTCTCTTTCTTATGATATATATATATATATATATATATATATATATAGATGCATGTTTCATTAAATAATATAGACAACTTTTATCTATTTATTTTAAATAAGTTCCTTTCATATTGTCTGATAAGCTTAATAACATTATCATTGAAAGACAAAAAGGAAATCACCATATTGATACAGGTTTAAATCCAATCTAAGCTTTCAGCTTACATAAGCCATTATCAAAGATGATAATTACATTTCAATATATCAAACAAAACAAAATTGATAAATTCATTAACCTATCCAACTGTGAACTAACTAAGCACCAAAAAGAATTGCTTAACCTTGGACCTAACTGTCATATATACCGTAAATATAATCGACTTTTAAAAAAATAGAAATTGATACGCTATAACAAAAAGCTTAGGTTGGATTTAAACATGTATCAATATGGTGATTTCCTTTTGTCTTTCAATGATAATGTTATTAAGCTTATCAGACAATATGAAAAGAAATTACTTAAAATAGACAAAACTTGTCTATATTATTTCATGAAACATGCATCAATGAAAAATTGCTGCCTAAATATACACAATATATATATATATATATATATATATATATACACACACACACACACACACTTATATAACAAAAAATATGCTACAAGGATGGAAAAACAACTGTACAAAACAGACATATAATAAAGAGCTAAATGCAGCCACATAGAAAAGCAGACATGCAGAACAAACCAATACAATAAAAAGAGGTAAAAAAAACACTGTATAAAACCACACACTACCCTGGTTTCAACCACTAGGTCTCATCTGGTGACTGAGCAACAAGTGTTCTTCAAACCACACCACACTACTATTGTATTTTCAACAAGAACTTTTCTAAATTGTGAATGTGGACAAGCATGTTGTTGTAAAGGTTTAGAGATGTTAGACATGTAATTCAAATGAAAACTCAACCACCGAGACAACATGGTTGTAGTATGGCCAACATAAATATTATTTTTTCCATTGGAGATACAAGCTCCCAGAGAACATTTAAATTTATATATAATGTTGGTTTTCTGTAACACATTGGTTGGTTGAGAAGAGTCATTATGAATGATTAAGTTGGAGATACTGAATTTTGTGTAGTATATAATTAATTTAATTTTTTTTACAAGCATCTGTGGTAGATATGTTGAAATTTAATAATTTTGTAAATACATCCATACATTCTCATGAAAATAATAAACATAAACTAAAAATACTTGAAGCCATCGTTAATAAAAAATTGAAACCAAACCATAACAAAGCTAATTATGAATACTGCACAAATGTTCTAAAATGTTTACAATAGATAGACTAAAATATCATGGTCTATATTAACAGCTTCTCATATTATTTTCTTCTTTTTTTTAAAAAAAACAAAAAAACACTTCACATATCATAATTAATTACCTCCCCTAGAACGTAACATCCATTGCATGGCACAAAAAACTCATGATCCTCATTCCACAGGTAAAATTATAATTTTCAGGTGAACTTAGCAATTTTGTCTTTGGAAATAATGAATACTACATTTTTGTCTTAAAAACACACCCTGGGGATGACATTGTGTTAATGTTGAAAGTACTCAAAATAAAATAATATTTATCAACACAGTAATTTTCTCTCTTCTTTTAATACATGAAAGCTCATCTGAGAATATGAACAGATCCAGTTTAAAATAAGCCAGCAAAATTTGTCTAAACAATTCAGCAAAACTTGTCTATATATATATATGTGTGTGTGTGTGCATTTAGGCAGCAATCCTTCTTTCATGCACATTTCATTGAATACAACAGACAAGGTGCTTTGATTTAGTTTTTTATACAATTTCTCATGGGATCTAATAAAGATGCCCTGTGTACATGCACCTTCCTTGGCTGGGTAATATCAGTGATAGATATGCTAAGCAGGTTTTCTTAGCAGTTTGATATCGTTACTTTGCTGCTCACACCTGTGTAGTTTTTTCTGCCAAGCCTGTCCTTCCATCCATCCATGCAGAAGGATGTTCTCCCTCTACATAATAGTTCTTTAATTTATTCCTTTAAATATAGTTGTGTCTCACATGATATATTCTTTTTTAACCAATTCACCCCAAGCAAGGTGATAATGCCACTATGTTGCAAAGGAGTCTACTGGGCGTGAAAGAGAATGAAAAGACTTTAGAGAGGACCAAAAACCCAATTCTAAACAGGCAACAAAGGATAAACCTCTACTCCTGTTCAAAAGACAGGGGAAGAGTGTGAACCAGACAATAGAAAAACCTATTTATTCCTGTTGAGGGGAAATAAATAAATAAATAGTAAATAAAATTTCAGAGTTTAGATAAATACATAAAAAGTATAGAGTTGAAGTAGACTTTAGAAAGAACTGGAAACTGAATCCTAAACAGGAAACAGGGGATAAACCTCCACTCCTGTTCAAAAGACCAGATTGAAGTGCAGGCACACACACACACACACACACACAAATATTTGAACATACGATATATAAATTTCTATATATTAGAACAATGTTAGATAAATGAATAACAAAGTAGATAAAGTTCTGTGTTTTTATTAATTTTCATATTAAATAATCCACATTGAGATCATAAAAATCTGACAACAAAAATGCTACCGTCTATCAAAATAAACACTGTGTCTTTTTCTCTTTCCTTAAGAATAATTTCATTCTAAGCAAAATGCACAGATATTTTCTTCTTTTTCTTCTATATGTTAATGATTTGTTTTTATGGTTAATATCTGAGTAAAATCATCAAGCACATCTTTCCAGGTTTAGATATTAAAGTTTTCACCATGTCTTGCAAAAATAATGTTTCCAATGATATATTGGATGAATTATTCAACGGATCATTTCCTTATTTTCCATGTCATGAATTTTGGCACCATTTATCACTTTTATATGAATTGTTGTTCATGTTCACTGTGTGACTAAATCATGTTTGCAGGTGGAAGACAAATTTGACACGACAATATCTGGACCATGGATGCTGAGATGGGAAATAACTCATAAAAATCATCATACTGCTTCTCTGAAAGGCAGCCAAACATCTTTGCATTAATGTTGAAAATGAAGACCATTCCACAGTAGGAAGGGGACAAAGCTCAGATATAAGCACAATGGAGAAAATTCAAAGAGGTTCTATTTCTTCTATTTATGGAGCTCATCTTTACATAGAACGTCCCCAAGAATGCATGACGGTTTATATGTGAAGATATACAAACATTCCATATATAAATGCTGTTTTATATATATATATATATATATATATATATATCATCTGTGTGTTATTTACATGCAAACTATTGTCCTCATCTTTGTTGTTATTATCACAATGTTTCAGCCATTGTATCCTCTGGCTTGTCAATCTGAGTAACCCTCAGGGAATTTTGAAAAGAACTCTTTTATTTAATTTGGGGTTGGGGAGAGGTAGATTGTTACCATTCCTCTGTCAATGTCTCAGGATATTTCATCTTGTGCTTATCCCTAGGCAACAGAATGAAAACTATTTTCCTTTGTGTAAATTAGGGGTTTCGTCCAAAATTCCCTGAAGATTACACAAACAGGTGCCCAGCCAAAATGTTGTCATAACAATAACAAAGATGAGGATAATAATACATGTGTAAATAATGATAAATCCTCAACCTGGAAAATAAAATAAAAATAATCTGTGTGTTCTCAATTTCTCTCCAGGGACATTTACTGTTAAATTTCATGATTAAAACATTTTATTATAAACCAGATGAATTTTGGAGAAATTATTTTCCATTCACTTAATATACAAATATAAGAAAAATGAATGAATTATAAGAAGTTGATTAACACTTTCAGTTTTCACTGAGAATTGATTTCTAAATTTTGAAAATAGAACATTAAATGAATACAAGAAATTAATATTTATTTTAAAAAGAATAAGAAAATAGTTTAAAAAGACATTTTGTATTCACTCAGATATATATATATATATATATATATATATGGAAAAGACAAGTAAGAACACTCCTAATAAATGACTCCATAGATAAGCCAAATTTTTGCTTATAGAAATTTTTATTGAAAGAGAAAAAAAAAGTGTTTAGTGATTAGTTTACATAGTTTTATAATTTTATTGTATCCAGAATCAACAGTACACCTCACAAATTAGCTAAAAATTTTATTGCAAAAATCCTAACTCCATTCTGAAGCACCATCAACCCAACACATATTAAATACTCTGATGTATCCAGAAGATACAAGACATAAATATGGAAAACAAGGTTATGGCTAGCTTAGATATAAAATCACTATACACAAATATACTTGTTACAAAATGCTTCAACATATTGAAAAACCACCTTTAAAAATACAAAGAAAAGCTTCCTTTACCTGTCCATAAAATTATGTAAACTACTAATTACTGTTTTTCTCTTTCAATATAAATTTCTCTAAGCATATATGTGTGTTTTATGAAATTCTTTAAATATTAATAACTTCCTCCTCTTTGAAAATGATAATTAAGCATTTAATGGCAAAATGGATATTTCTTTATAAATTACATTTTTTCTTTTGAATAAATTTTATAATAGTATATGACTTTGTCTTTTTCATTTATATTTGTAAATATTCATTGATTTTTAATTACAAAAAAAACAATAAAGTTGATCACCTGCCAATCAGTGATCAGATACAATTTCTTTTTCTTTCTATATTCCATGACCCTTCAGGGTGTGGACAATCATGGCTCTCCACTACTGTCTTTTGTTCCTCTAATTAATTTTTGTTCTTTTACAATCTCTTTCTGTCATACATTTATTCAAACTTCTCAGGTTACTTGTTTTCCTCCTCTCCTCTTGCTTTTAGTGTATCCTGTGAGTATTTAATTCTCCAAACCTTCTTTCCTCGTGTGTCTAAAAATTTCAGCTTTTTCTTTCTGATTATCACATGGTCTGTTCATTGCATTCTCAACATTCTTCTGTAGAACCCCCATCTTTCACTTCAAGTCTCTTCTTCATTTTGCAGAGATTGTCCAGCATTCATTGCTATATGAGATTAGATATTATATAATAGTTCAGCCCTCTTTCCTTTTGTTTCTAAAAACATTTTTCAATTCTTTACACAGTTTCTGAAAAGTATCATTCTATATTCCTATCTACTTTCAGATTTCTGTCACACTTTATATTGTCTGTTTCTATATCAACCAGATGGTTAAATTTCTGCATCAGCTTGATTTTTATGTCCCCAATGTGTAGCTCACACCTTAGAGTGGCCCTTTTGCTGATAACCTTGAATTCTGTTCTCTTACAGTTAATGGATAATCCTTTTTCTTTTTACTATCATTTAAGACCTTGTATAGTTGTTTCAGTTTTTCTTGTGTATTTGCCATCAACTCAGTGTTATCTGCATAGTATATGATATTAAGGTAAAATTTTCTGATAATAAATCCTAGCAAGTCTTTTTTCTTCTTAGACTCAGCTCACATTAGTGGCAAAATAAATATAAGAAAATATATCATTATATTTCTCTTTCTTTTTTGGTGTATTCTCAGTAGAACTCATTTTCTATCTGTATGTAAACAGTTTATTTTCTGTGAAGGTTACAGATTATTTAAATATCTTTTCTATATAAATCAAGCTTTCCTAACACCTCAAGTAGTTCTTGAGTTTATCGAATACCTTTGTATAACTTATGGAACTTTGCACTTGTATTGCTCACTCTGATTACATTTCTTGTTTCAGTGTCTTTAATAAATCCACATTACTTCCAATTGAATTCTGCTATGAGTTCATAAGAATCTTAATTATTAGTTTGTTGTGTGGTTTGTCAAGCTGATTGCTCAATGACAATTGCATTGATTTGCAACTGGCTTTTTGGTAACACTATAACAATTGATCTCCTGATGTTTTCTGGTATTTCACCACTGTCATATATTTTGTTTATCACATTGGTAACATTATCAATTTGAAAATTGCCTTAGGCTGTCAGCATTATATGCTTCTGCTGCTTTCTTTCTCTTCTTGTCTTCAGCTCGTAGTTTTAATCTTGCAGATCCTTCTGTGCTTTTGCTGTCAGACTTTCCCCTATGATGTCATGAAAGAATTTTCACTGCATACTCAGTCTATCATCTTTTTCCTTTTCCATTCCAATTGTTCCCTCTTCAGGTTTAATACATACTGGCAAAGTAAACATTGTCCTTCTAGCAGTTTTATAAAAATCACACACTAAAGAGCAGGTAAGAATTTGTTTCACAAATCCTCTTGAATTATTTATAAAATTAAAGCTGCTTGAGAAAAGGGAAACAAAAAGAAACAGCTGAAATTTAATAAATAACATGATCCTTATATTTGAACAATATATATATATATATATATATATATATATATATAAGGATTGTGTTATTCAAGGAATTGATAGTAAGTTAATGTTTCATTAAGTCTTGTTAGACAAGTGATTTCGCCATTAATCACATTCACATTGCTAATTCTTTGTATAATTACTTCTTTATGATATTATATATATATATATATATATATATATATATATATATATATTCTTGCATGTACATTTTTAAATATCTCTTGGTGACATTGCATTTAAATTTTTAAAGATCAAAGTTAGCCAGAAACTATGGAGCCAGAAGATATTTCCACAAGCGAGAGAAGAAACTGTTAGCATAGAACCTATGGTTATATCTAGCCATTTCAACTGTAAAATGATGAGACCTAAGTGCCAATCTAGTACTGTGGTTAAATTCATAAAGTCTAGGTACCATAAAGGAAAGTTCTGTGTTAAAATGTGTCACAAAAGAAAAAAATTTTGTCTCTCTCCTACTGTCATAGCTGAAGTTTTTGGGACACATAATGAGGAAGGAGAGCCTAGTGAATCTGATACACACAGATCGAATAGAGGGAAAGAGAGACAAGGGAAAACAATGTGTGACATAACTGATGGACTTAAGCAAGTGGATGACAGAATGTGATCTGGGGGAGTAAGCAATGGGAAGGAACTTGTTGAGAGCTGCAAGGGATAGAAGGAGGTGGAGGGCCATGATCACCTACATCCTGAAAGGTCATGGCACATAAAAAGAAAGATTTCTTTTATGATTATCTGCTTTATCTGTAATACTCATTCGCATTTGCATGGTCCTCAAATAAAATCTTCGGGCCAATCTCTTAGAAATATATCCATATGTGCTTGTGTGTATTTGCATAGTGTATTTTCTAAAAAGAAAAGAAAATTGTGTGAGAAAGAAAGACTTTATTTGAAACTGTGTAAGTAAATTGGAATTGATAACTTTGGATTTAATATCTAGAACTTAAAATATAAGCATCAGGAAGACAATTTAGTTGTTAAAAAAAAAAAAAAAATAAAGGCAGGCTTCAAGTCTCAATGTAAAAATGGGAGATAAAAATTCAAGATAAATGTAGACAGGTGTAAATGTACATAAATAACTGACTTATGAAGTAACTGTCTTCATATTCTTTCTGTTTTTCCACAATTTTTATTGAGCCATTCCTTTTTTGCCTGCCTGCATTTGTTTCTAATTTTTTTGTGTAATGCCTTATATTCTGTACATTATTTGCTGTCTCTTTTTCATCATATCAAGAATTTGTCATCCACACCTTTTTTCCCTGTCTATTATCATCAAGATGATCTTGCTTGCTGATGTTATTAAATCTTCTCTTAATGTGTCTCACTTTGAATTTCCATCTTCACTTAGTTTATTATATTTCCTTTTAACTGTCAATATACATTGCTTTGCAATTCAGTTCATTCAGGAGTCTGTCGTATTGCAATTTAGTTACTGCTTTGGCTTGCTTTAATTTCCATAGTTTTATTTGGAGATTATATGTCACAGGAAAGTTATTGCTCCTACAGTTGGCACTTAGATATGTTTTACAGTATAAAATTAAAATTCTTAATTTCTTATTGAGTGGCATGTAGTTGATCTGGATTTTTGTTTCTCCTCCTGGACTTTTAAACATCCATAATCAGTTACAAGTAATTCGAGAATACAAATAAGTATTTATAACAGTGGTGACTCCAGGGGCTGGGCTTGTTGGGCTTAGCCTGATTGAATCAATA